ATATTTGAATTATCTTCAAAAAAATTTAAATCACTAAAAAAAAATTAGTTTAATATATTAAATAATTCAATAATATATAATTATTTAATTTATTATAGTTTCTTACTTAGTATCTTCATAATTACTATTACTATCTAATAATAGATTAATATATTCATTTATTTCTAAATTAATTTGTTAAAAATATCATTGTCACCATAAATGGGAATCACATATTTTTTTTAAGTAACCAACAGCTTTCTTTTTGTTTGTTTAAACAATAATTGTATTTACATAAGTATTTTTTGTTTTTATAATTAATAGAAGACATTTTAATAAAAATAGCTAAATATTAATATTAAAATTATATATTTGTCTTTTAGATTGATTTTTATAGATTATTGGGTTGTAATTATGCAATATCAGTATTATAATCATAATACCAAAAACTAGTATACATATTATAATATATAAAAAAAAAATTATTAGTATAACAAAAACTAAATTTGGTTTATATTACAAACCAAAAGCAATTACAATTTATATAGCATAAAAAAATTTAAAAGTTATTACAATTTAATCTTTAATATACTCAATAAATGCTATCCAATTATTCTTTTTAAAATTTTTCAACCAGGTAATCATTATATCATCAACTAAATCCAATGTTACCCAATTATTATTTAATACTTCTAATAGCTGAACCAAGTGTAGTCCAGCTACACTATATGTTTGCAATTTTCTGGCTGAAATTTTTCCAGAAAAACCTGGAATTTTGATATTTATTTTATCTGATTCTATAGTTTTTTTTTGTTTTTTTATTTTTTTTATTAGTTATTGGAATTTTAAAAAAATTAGATTTGGTTTGATCAATATTTAATAGTTAGTAGATTGTGATTTTTCTCAAAAGTAGTGCATGAACTTGTGATGCTACTTTTGTTTCTTTTTGTTAATTGGCTAATATTTCAATTTATTTCTTCAAATAAATATAAGACTGCTGAAATTCATAAAGTTTTCTCAAGGATATTCTTTTGGATACTTCTGAAGTATATGTTACTATATCTAAATTATTAATAGAAGTGTAACATTTACTCATTAAGTTATTAGATAATTCTAATTGTTTTTCAATTGTTTTTGTTTTTTTATTTAAAAATGTTTATTAAAAACACTTGATGCTTTTCTTAATGAAATAATTTGCTCTTAAACTAATGCAGATTTCTCAGTATTAGTTTGTTTAAAATAAGATTCTAAATAAGAATCTAAATCTAATACTCCCTTAATTGATAAACAACAAAATTCTGTTGGAATTGTAGTAGAAGCTTGCATTATTACAATTTTTAAATGTTTAATAAGCTCTTTATAATATTCAGACTTACATACATCTAAATTTGAATCAAAAAAAGGTGCCACTACTGGAAGGTCTTTTTCTAATAATCGAAAATTTGAATATAATTTAGCAACTTTCAACTTTGTTCCTTTGAGAATATTGTCTTCAGAAATTTGATAATTTATTAAGAAACTTAATGGACTAACTGGTTCATTTATAGCTTCTTCCAAATTTACAGGTTCAAATTTTGGAAATTTAATTGTTTTTATCAATTTTCTAATATATTTAATATCAACTGGCTTAATTATGACAGTTTTTATTTAATTTTTGAGTTTTGCTTTGCATTTTTCAAGACATATTTCAATTTTATCTAAATTAGAACTACAAGAAATAGCATTTAACATTAAACAATTACTAATTATATTTGAGTGAATTTCTTTTAATTCTAATTTTTTTGATTAAGTAGATATAAATGTTGATAAACCTATAAAATAAAATAAGTATTTAAATAAAAATAATTAAATAAATAATTATTTAATATATTAAAAGACTTACCAGTATGTTGTTTCTTAATAGCTTGTATATGTTTATTATTATTGTTATTTTTATACTCATTTTCTTCTTTATATTTATCTTCACATTCTTTATATTCATCCTCATTCCATTCTTTGAATTTGTTTTTGCCTTCTTTTCAATGTTTGTTTTTATCTCTTTTTTTAGATTTCATTATTTCAATTTCATTAACAGTTTTCTTCTCATCTTTTCATTTAATTTAATTAATATATTATTAGTTAATTTATTTATTAAATATAAAATTAATTATAAATTAAACTTACGATTTGATGAAAATATGTGCAGTTCTTCATATTTTATTTTAAAAACTTTATTTTTATTAGAATAACTACTTTTGCTTTTAGAAGAGTTCTTATTTGCTTCACTTTTACAGAAATTTAGATTTGCTTTACTTTTACAAAGATTCAGATTTTCTTCAGTTTTACAGAGATTCGGATTTGCATCACTTTCATAGGCATTCAAATTTGCTTCACTTTCACAGGGGTTCAGACTTGCTTCACTTTCATGAAGGTTCAGACTTGCTTCACATTTATGAGAGTTCAGACTTGCTTTACTTTCATAGGGGTTCAGACTTGCTTCACTTTCATAAGGGTTCAAACTTGCTTCAATTTTACAGGAATTCAGATTTGCATCACTTTTGCTTAGGTTGTGATTTGTTTTACTTTCATAGAAGTGCTGATTTGCTTTACTTTCACTAGAGTTCTCATTTGCTTCACTTATTTCACTTTCAAAAGAACTCTAATTCACTTCACTTTCACAAAGATTCTGGCCTACTTCGAGTATTTCATCTATTTTGCAAGAAACCTTTCTTGCAAATGTTATGTCTTTTTTGTTGCCGATTTTATAAAAATAAAATTATTTTTGACAATTATCTTTGTAGATAATTTCAATTTCATTTCTAAAGAATTTAACATGTTTAATATAATTGTTTATATTGAATATAACTGTTAGATATAATAAACACATCAAATTGTTGTTAATGTAATCTAAAAAATTAAAAAAAAAATTAGCTTATTTTTAAAACAATTAATAATTAACAAAATACAAGTTCAGATTTTGTTAATCTATTTTTTTTTTTTTTTTTTTTTTTTTTTTTTAACCTTAAGCAGTTACGCTAGTACTTTATTAAGATTCTTGAAACT